ATGCATTAAACTGTGGTGATAGCACATGGGTGACTTGGTAATGGGAACCCAAGAGGATTGCAACTGAGATGGAAAAATACACAAAAAGATGTGAAAATAAACTATTAATATATTTTTTTAAAAATTCAGGGTTCATAGCAAATGGCCAACACTAAATACCAATGAGTTTTAAAAAAATAAAAAGTATGACTATGACTAAAGTCCTGAAAACATTAATCATCACTATCTTGCACTCGTGAACGATGCCCTAACTACAGTGACCACTCACAGATCAGAGTGCTCCTCCCTCTATGATACAGTTCTCCCAGGCCAGTCCTAAATGTAGTCTACCCTGGCAAACAGTAATCTACATTATACCCCCAATGGATTTCACTAGTACAGTATGATCACAACCAAATAAAATGCTTGCATGAATCCTTAACTCAGTGAGATAAGGTATTGGGCACACCGATAATTAAAAGCAAATCAGCAATAATTCTCCCTAAATTCAACCTTAAGCTTCTTCCCCACTGCCCTGGGGAATTAAAATTAAATGAGCGTACAGTCCCATCCAACGAGGATGTCACCACCACAGTTGTATAAGAAAGGTTCTAGGAGAAAATGGGGCTCACTGCTCTTCATCATCACCCCTCTTGCTGCGGGCCAGATCTCACTGGAGGTATTGGTGAGGGCAGGCACATAATGAAAGCACTAGGTCCAGCCACACACACACAAAATTCTGCTCACGAAGCTGGGATGAAAGGATGCCAGGGGCATGACCACCCACCATGTTGGAAGCCCGGATAATATTAATATTCTAATACATTTGCTGATGTGAATTTTTAAGTGCATCCCCAAATTCCCTATATGCATTTTTAAGACCAGGCAGGATGAAAGACTATTACAGAGTATCTAAAACACAGCAGTCTCCTTGCTGACATACTCACCACCCAAGTGTCTTTTAAAAGCATGATATACAAAGACAGTATAATGGCAGAAATACTTTGTGTACATGCTTGCTGACTACGCTAACAGTGAATACAGTAACATCTTCTAAGACACAGTGCTATACATTAAGAGAAAATAAGGATGAAAGTCCTCTGTATCATGAAGACACTGCATGAAGGAGGGAAAGAAACTAAAACTTTGCTACGAGTCTCAATGTTTGAATACAAAGGGCAGTTTTGTCAAGGATCTCAAATATCTCCCACATGGTTAAGTTTGTAGCTTCCTCTTAATTTTCCACTATGCTCAGTTCTTTGTTAAGAGTCATACATAAATTTTCTGGAAAGTTAACTGACTACAATTCTTTAGAAAGAGTAAACAAAGATGACCAAATAAAGAAAATTTTCTTTCCTGTCCCCAACCTCTCAAAAGATTCTGAGAAAGTCATTAATCACCCAGGAGAACAGAGGAGGAGGCACGGAAAAGAAACAAAACATGTAATATACCTTGGGAGTGGAGGGGAAAAAAGAGAAGAACACATATGAAGTAGAGCAAAGGGTTTTGAACACCCAGTTTAAAGCATTGTTATATAACATCACTGTCACTGACCATGAGACCACAAACTTATCAGACTATCATAGCCAACTTCCTTATCAAACTATCTTGAGCTTTTTTTTTTTCCTTAAGAAAAGCGGTATTTCAAAGAACTGTTGGTATAATAAAAGTATTAAAAGCCAATTCCACAAGTACTAAACTTAATTAGGCAACTAGTGGGTTTTGCATCCCTGATAAGGAAAACATTTTCCATAGGCTTTTAGGTCTTCGAAATTTTAAAGATATCTCTCAAGAAAGGGCAAAATTACTATCCGATATGCAAGAATTGTACCGATGATTAAAATGAAAAACTAAGAGGGGAGTCCTAACTTCAGGACTCTTTAGTCAACTCTTAAAGCAAGATCGGTTTTCCCTGATACACAGCATTTTTTTGTGTTTTCAATTATAATTAGCAGGCAATAGATATTTAGCAACCATGACATTTGATAAAGAACTCCAGAATTCTGTCTCCTCTGTGAGACTGGAAGATTGGTCAAGTGGACCCAATTTTGCTTCCATGTGGCAAAAACTGGTACCTGCTTTGAAGTCCCTGGTTTAAGGCACCAAAATTTTCAGCCTTGAGTACTAACCTTTTCCTCGACGGCCCTTCTTCAAAATCTGAAGAACTAACATCGTTGCTAGTAGAGGACACTTGGGATGCATCGTCCTTCTCATTCTCTGACTGTTCTGACGCTGGTCCTAATCCCTTAGACTGGCCATTACCAAGGAGCCCTACAGGTGAGAAAAGGGACAAACACTTAAAAACATGATATGAGAAGCAGCACGTTTACCACAGTTAACCCTGTCAATGGCTGATGAAGACAGACAAGCATTTGGATAGAAAAGAAATAAAAGTCAGGCACCTCTTTTGAATAGAGGAAGGAGAAAAGTCGCACCTTGTCCTACTTTAGACCTTTTAAGACCATGAAATGCCTAACAAGGAACCAATTTCAACAATGCGCGTCTCCAGCGAAATTTGTAATCATTAATATACTTGCAGTTTTCATTTTTTGTAGCATATACACATCTTTTTAGGGGTGGGGGATGGAAAGGAAGAAAGGCATCTCAAGAATTACCAATTCAGACTAGTTCTTCTTTACATATTTGCTCTAAGTATTTACTCTAGAAGTACTAAAAATCCTTTTTGGAATTGCTTCAGGAAACTGCATCAGCCACAGGAGCAAGGTCCGCCTGCTCTGCAGTGATATCGTAGTTGCTGATGAGACATTCTACTTTGCAACTCTCTGTTCACAGCACCCCATTATGTTTCACAGTCACCAGAGTGGCCTCTGTCTCAAAGAATACAAATTCTCTCTGAGACTGCACAGGGGCACCACACACAAGAGGAGCCCAGGATGTGCTTCACTAGTAGACATGGAGGTCCCAGGGAAGCGGCTGCTCTAGAAGTGCTGCCTGTGATGAAAACAGTTTATGGAGATGACATGGAGGAATATTACCAAGCAATGAAGCCATTGGCGGTGGCTGCTGGATTCAGGAGCCTGAACCCCTAGCACCCCCTAGCACCCAGTTACCCTTGCATTCAGGCTCTACATACACGGTCGGGCCCATTCGCCAGCCTCACAGGCATCAGAAGCCAGCAGCCAGCAGCATTAAACCCTCTTTTAGTCAAAATACTGACGAATGGTTTCTGTTAGCTGCACTGAACACTATGTAGAAAACAGCAATTTAAGTATTCGGTAATTTTTTGTGAAAGAACATAGTAGACTGCAACAGAACCCTGGACTTAACCTGCATGTGCATATATTTTCCCAGTTACCTATGTTTACATCATTGCAGGGTATAAGTGGTAACGTAGCAATGGAAAACTAATATATGCAGTTAAAAAAAAAAAACGCTGCAATCACTCAGAAGTAGTGGAAAGGAATAAAATTTAGAAAAGAAAAAATCCACAGCATTCAATGAAAGAACACACTGGGAGGCAAAAGGAAACAAAATAGCTGGGAAACCTGAGGCGAAGGTGGACATGTGGCCGGCATGGCAGAGACCAGGGCTGTGCTACCCGGTCTGGTGGGCACCGGGCATGTGCAGTTACTGAGCATCTGAAATATGGCTCGTGTGGATAAGAAAACAGATTTTTTAATTTTATTTAGTTTTAATTAATTTAAAGCTGAATGTAACTAACATTTCATTAATTTATATTGATTAATTTTTGAAATATTTTGGATGCATTATTAGGTTAAGTCAAATGTATTAAAATTAATCTTAACGGATTCCTTTTCATTTTTTACAATGCAGCTCAGAAAGCTAAAATTACATATGTAGTGGAAATAATCTCTATTGATCAACATTAGAGTATTTAGTGATGCCACTAAGAGGGAGAGGAGACAGCCCCGCCCACGCAGCCTACCCAAGCAGTGGGAGGACAGAGACAATACTTCAGAGATTGGGCAATGGCCTAGGGACAGAATATAAGAGGAAAAGCTGGATGAAATACCACACTTCCTTTAAACTTGGGTTACAGACCATATTAAGATAAGAACAGAAAGAGGATACGCATATTGTTTAGAAATACAGGCAATGTTTTCAAAAAATATAGCTCAAAGCTTTCAATGCTTAATTAAGCAACATTAAGGAAAACAAAACAGGAAAAGCAGGACAAAGTCTGAACACATCCATTCATTTACTTGACACACAATTCCAGGGCCTGGGCGATACAAGCACAACCAAATTCTACATCCTGGTGAAAGGCTATCACTATCAGCTAGCAGGACACCTAAAATAGAAATGAAACGTTTGTGGATCAAGAAGTCGGCACTGGGGAAGGGCAGTGACTCAATCAATGGAAGCAGTGATTAAATTCATAATATGAAACATAAATAGCAAAGCTGGGATTCGCAATGTTTAAAAGCAAAAACAAGAAGCAGGTACTAGATAATGAAGGAGAGAAAAGAGGTGGTCGTTCTGAAGTTTTATTTGGATCAAGGAGGAGACTATAAAAAACTAGAAGTTGCTACAAGAAACTGGGGAAGAAAGTCCACTGCGCCCTTTAGAACCCAACAGGAGCTTAAAAGCCTGCTAACTAGCTGGGTGGGTGGGCGGGTAAGTGACTGAGTGACTGACACAGAAATGCTGAGCTACTCCTTGGCACCTATACTCTGGTCCATCTGACAAATTAACCTCCCTAGTTTGTAAAAGACCATGATTCTCAACTTGAGCATGAAGCAGAATCATAATCACCTAAGTGCTTGTTCAAACACAGTCTTTCTAGCCTGTCGAATCCACTCCCAGTCAACACTGACACTACCTTGGCTGGCACGGGAGCCACAGTATGAGAATTACTACTGCAGAGGACAGCAAGTTTCAAGCCAACATGGGGTCGAGGTGCCATAAGCTAATAAAGCTTTGGGTAAGAGTGAATTAGAACTCAGGAAACCAGTCACAATACATACAATCTTTCATAACATAACTTCTCAGTAAAGGTCCAAAGCCACAATTGTATGGCAGCATTTATCTACCTTATATCGCAACGTCTGTGATGGGAAATAAGGTTACTATGAAACTTCACAAATCTGCAACAGTCAGTTCAACACTGCAGAAAAGCCAAGATTCCAGATTACACACAATTTCTATGATTTAAAATCCCAAAAGACACAAAAATTTCAACATATACATTAATATATGATTATAGTATATTTAAAATAATGATTTCATTGTCTCTAATACTACAAAAAAAGGGGAGAAAATACAAGCGAAGCAGATGACCCAATATTATAGAAATACTATAAAACCTTTCAGAATAAATAACGTATAAATAAAGGGCCCAGTGGTTGGAGGCAGCAGGGGGAGAAGGCATTGGGCAATGGTCTGGACTACTTGATGTTGGAGGGAAATTGGAGCAGCAGGGTTCCCCCTTGGAAGGCTCAAGGTCATTGTTACTTCCCTCTCAAAAATTATCTGTCCAATCACAAATTCCGAGAAAGTGCATCAACACAACACATTACATGAAAAGGGGGACTTTGTACAAACCAACGTGAACCGAAGCCAATGAGGCGTGACTGAGTTACATCAAGAGTTCCCCCACTCCAAGCATCATGTGATTACAAGTGGCTGACCAAGACTAACTCGGGGTACCTGCTTCACCGTCCAGCTGAATCAATGAGCACCCACCCAGACACAATGAACTGACTGCCTGGTTTGCAGACTCAAGGGCCTCACTTTGTCCCAGCTTTTCAAGGGCAAGGACCCACATGTTCCACATGTGATCAACTTTTTCAATCTGAGTACCGCCATTCTGTATGTATCAGCAGAGAAAATTTATACTTTTTTTAAAAAATATTTATTTATTTATTCATATGGAACTGGGGTACAGGCCAGAGATATGGAGGGTGAGAGGATTCACCAGAGACAGAGTGGGGAGCAGA